AAGAAAGAAAGAAAGAAAGAAAGAAAGAAAGAAAGAAAGAAAGAAAGTAATGAAAGAAAGAAAACATATTTATGAAACAACTTACTACATGCCAGCCATGGTACTAAGCATTGGGGATAAAATTTGGCCAGCTAGTCCCCGTCCTCAAGTAATTTACATTCTAATAGAAGACAGCACATACAGCAGGGTTGTGGACAGGGAAGTCAGAGTAAATGGTGATTGGAGATACATGCTAAAATGATTGATATGTCCTTTTCAGAAATGATGATTTTATTAGATTATTGTTCTCAGAGCTAGATTTAGAAATGAAGGGTAATAGGGAACAAAGCATATTTGCACTATGGTACAGACTGGAGATGTCCAGGGAGTAGAATGGTAGGTTTACAAGTGGGCAAGATAAGGTGAATGATCACCAATCAGATCCCAGGATGACAGAGGTGAGACCTTGAGCCTGCTATGTGGTAAAGAAAAGATTGTGGAATTTGAAGCAAGGAAAAACATGAGTCTGAGTCTTACCACTGCACACTTGCTATTAGTGTGACTATGGGCAAGTAACATCCTCTCTGACCCTCAGGTTCCTTATCTGTTCAATTGGGACAATAATATATGTAACAGCAGTATAGAGTTTTTATTATGATCAAATGGGATGTGTGAAGATTGCTTTCTAAATCTAAAAGCATTTAAATGCATGCTATTATTATCTGAGGCAGAAAGTGCTCTTCTATCTACTTCTAAGAGACCTATTTGACTTCTTGTAAACATCAATTTTCTCTGGATAATAGCTAAAATTTATGAAATATAAATTAAATAAAAGCCTAGTTCAATCTTTTATCTGGTGAAGCCTCATTTAATGTGATAAGACAGTAAATTTGAGGATTCATCAGAAACTCATGGAGTGATAATAGAACAAAAAAGTAGTAATGAACCCAAGAAACTTTCAGGGTTATTTTCTGATAACCTACTGAACTCAAAAGTCACCAGAAAAATAATATATAAATCTGGGGCCGACTCAAGACACCACAATTTGACACCATCTCTCCTTTCAAGATTTATAGCCTATGCCATATACATGATTTGTGCCCCCAATAAATTAAGCTGTTGATCATTCCCCTTCTTTGCTTCCCCATACATGCCCCTTACTTCTCCACCTCCACACTTTGGGTTGCACAGTTCCGTAATCCTAAATTATTTCCCCCCTGCCCACCATTGCAAATGCCCTCATCCCTTTCTATTAATTTAAATTCAATCCATCTTCTAAGGCTCAGTTCAAATGCCACGTTATTCAGGAAGACATTCCTGACTGACTCACTTGATACTAACTTAAGAAGGAAAGTGAATTCCCTTGCTTTTTAAGAGGCAGGTCTCATGTAATAGAAAGGGCAATAGATTTAGAAGTAAGAAACCTGCATTTATATCACAGCCCTACCTCTTAACTAACTATGTATGTGACTTTGGGCAGGTCATGAGTCTCCACTTCCCCACTTGTAAAATTGGGATCATAGCTATACTATCTATTTGACAAGAATTTTTTTTGAGGAATCATACAAGCTAATGACCATATGTTTTGTGCAAAGTGCTATGTAAAGCATCAGCAATCACTATTAATATTTCATGACATTTCACTTTATCCTACTCAGGTTTTTTTTTAATGGAAATGCTTTCAAAATATTAGTGTAATTAATGAGAAAATTAGAAGAAATGCATTGTTATCGAGAAGCACTGTAAAAGAAGAAAAGTGAAACCAATTGATTATATATGTTTATATATGCACATATATATTTACATATAGATTTGTAAATTTCCATATTACATATGTATATATATGCATACATACACATATATGTTTGTATCTTAATCATCTTATGAAGCAGTAGAAATATTAAAATATCTCAATTTACTAATTCTCTAATTTGCTAATAAACTAAGACACTGAGGCACAGGGAAATTAAATGACTTGTTGCAAAAATAGTATCAGAGATGGGATTCAAACTAACTTCTCTTTACTTTGAGAATATTGTTCTCACTCTACTATCCCACACTGCCTTTCCCTGAACTTCATTCTTATCTGATTAAGATGAAAGATCCCAAGTTCTAGTCTCTCTATGGTGGGTATTTTGATTGTTATGGCTATTGTCATGTTTCTGACTTTATGGGACATATTCATCCGTATTTCATTTGTAGCTCTTATTACCACATACAGAACATTTTAACCATGTAAAAATCAACCTGTTAACTATATGACAATATGCAGACCATACTGTTGTGACTTCATATACTGGCCAACAATAACAACAAAAAAAATTATAGTCCTGGCAAGAGTTTCAAATAGAAGCAGACTCATAATTAGAATTCTAGCATCTAAGATGTGAACATGGGCTCTATAGTCATTATAGAATTATGTCAGAGTTGCGGGACAACTAGCCTTTCAGAAAGGCTTCTGAAGCCCCAAACTGCTTGATATACCAGTAATCCATTGTGACTGAACTCTAGCCAAATCCGGAGATGCTTGTAGCTGCCAGAAACCAAACAGCTTAAAGGTAAACTTGAGCAATAGATGCAGACTCAAGACCTTCCTTGAGACTTTCTAAACAAGATATCTTGGCTTATTGTGTCTACACATGTCTTCTCCCTTATCCTTGCCTGCCCCAAAGCCTCTAGAAACTATGTTATCTCACCCTTTTTTCACTCTTCTCTCAGTAGCTCTCCCTCTGTTCCCTTGCAGGATCTTCTCTCCCCCGCAAGTTTTTTTCCTCAGACAATGAGAAACACTTTGTAATTTGTTATAGGACTCTTCTGCATTTAAAGTCCCCCTTTTTGGGTACCGGGGTCTTCCTTTACCAAGGGCAAGGAGAAATTGGAAAAAGATCTTTTTTTAATGATAGAGAAGTTTCAAGGGCTGGGAACAGAGTAGAGCAGTCAAAGAGCTCACCTAGGGAAAACCTCTGAATTCCACCTCTCTCTCTCTCTCCTTCCCTCTTCCCCCGCCCCACACACACACTTCACCTTTATTGTTCCTCAGTTGTCTTTAGTAGCCACTTGTAGTCACATACAAGGAAATGAGGACCAACAAGTTGCAGATACAAAGGACTATGGCATATGGATAGCAGATCACAAAGAGTGGGAATTGTGGACCAGAGACATACCAGGAAGGAAGTATGCCTTGCTAAATTTTAGCACCCTGAGTGAAAACCCAGTCATCTCATACTGGTCAAAGGACTAGAAAGAAAGCAGTGTTATACAACAGGAAAGATTGTTAGTCAGAAGACATAGAATTCCCTTCTAGCTCTGCTATCAAACATAAATCCACTAAAATCCCTCCCTCTTCATTTAGAAAATAAGGAATTTGTGAATTTTCATTCATAAAATCAGAGGAGTTAGGAATAGAATGACCCTTTCAATATCATCTAATCCAGTCCTCTCATTTTACAAAAAAAAAAGGAAATTAATGAACAACTTACAAGTAGCAAAGGTGCATCTTCTGACTTAGAGTTTATTAGATAATTTCTCAAGTTCATTCCAGATCAAATATAATTTTTGGTAAATCTTTTCTCACACTTTCTCTTTTTCTCCTCCCTCATCTCCAGCATCATTCTCAAATTTAAAGAAACTTTCAGATCACTTTTAAAATCCAAAATTATCTAAATTGATGGGTAATGTAGCCCGAATTCGCCAAACTGCTGCTACCTTCCACCTTGTTTGACTATGTCAAATTGACCATTTGCAAAAATGCCAAGCACAGTTAAGATCTATAAGAATCCTTGGAGACCTGAAAAGGACATATTTGCAGGATGGTCTCAATATGGTGCAGCTTGGCAGAGAATATATGGCACTGAATTTGGGGTCCGGAGACCTAGGAAATCTCACCTAATAAGTATTTGCTGCATTACCATGAACAACTGACTTAACCTCTTGGTGGCCCAGTTGCCTTATCTGTTAAATGAGAGAGTTAGACTAAATGACTTTTAAGATCCATTCTAGCTCAACATCTATAATTGAATAATCCTATGAAATGTTCCCTATCAAGGAACAGTATCACCTTCAGATGCAGAAAAATAACACCTGACCCTAAACCCCCAGGATAAGTTCTAATGATTTTTATGAATAAATGACAAATAACTTATTAAATCTTATGATATACTGGACCTCATGTTAAGTGCTAAGGATACAAATACATTTAAGCAAGACAACCACAGACCCCAAGGAGCTTATATTCTAACAGGGGAACACAACATAAAAGGGGACCTAGAAAGGGGAATGGGCAGGATATTTGTATGGTGGCATTTTGTGGAAATGGTAAGGAAAGCACTTGGATCCCTGGTTCCAGGACAGATAAAATCTATTAAAACCTAGCTTCCAGTGCCTAGTGGGAAGATCTAGTGAGATGAGGATGAGGAATCTAGGAAAAAGGGCTGGAGTGTAGATGGCATGGTATGGAAATAGTAGAATCATACTTGAATCACTCCCGAATGTCAAGACTGGATTGACTCATTCAAGTCACCAAGATATCATTCAGCAACACCTTTTAGAATACAGTTATCCTTTCTACACCCTGGGGGAACACAGCATGGTGGCCCCCATCTGGAAAATTTAAGTAAAATATTTTAGTCCTCCCTTTGTACCAGAGAAAAGAAATTGTGTATATTCATGGTATTAAAAGATAAAATATGTTGGTATTTTGCAGTAGTATACCTATATTTTATACATTTCTGAGTTTCTAAACCTTTTCTTAGTCACCTGTTGGCCTTCATGTGTCATCTGCAGGTTTTGCAAAATTCCCCCCCAAAAAATCCGATTAAATATCTTATGCAAGTACAATGGCAAAAGTCACAATGTGGAAAAGATAAGTATAAGCTCCTGGAGCAGGGACTGTGTTTTTGCATTTCTTTGTATTCCCATTACTTACTGCATTACCCAGAACATAATAAGCACCTATTAAATGCTTGTTAAATAACTTACTGACTTTCTTCTTAGGAGAACACTGGTAATATCAACATTACATATTGTGCATGGGCTTAAATTTCCTGTAGGCAGACATATAAAGAAAGCAATGAGGTATGGGAAAAAATGTACTGAATTTTAAGCCATAAAATTGGGACCCAAATCTTTGTTCTCCCATTTGATACCTTTGTGACCCTAGACACTTTTCCACTCAAGCTTCCAGTTTCCTCTTCTGTAAAAGAGGGGATTGAACTAGAAAACCTCTGAATTTCCTCAGTTCAAAGCTGAACTCATTTTATGCCCCACCCAAGATAAAAAATAAAATAAAGCCTGCCCTCTTCTAAACCTTCCTGTTTTGGTCAAGGGTAGTACTACCTTTCTAGTCACCCAGATTCCAAACCTGGGTGTCATCATTCTTCACTGTTCTATCTCCCTTACATGACATGTCCATCCAGTTCCCAAATACTGTCACTACAATTTTTCTCATACCTGATCCCCTATCTCTGCTTATGTAGTCACTGCCCTGTTTCAAGCCCTTATCTTCACTAGGATGATTGCCATAGCTTCCTAATTGGTTTCTTTGCCTCAAGTCTTTCCCTACTCTAGGCCATTCTCTACCTAGCTACCAAAGTGATTATTTTCCTTAAGTACAAGTCTGGTCATGTCACCACCCTCCTCAGGAAACTCCAATAGCTTCCTATTGTTGAGGTTTAGGGATTTAGGGGTACTGGAACCCCAAAATCACAAATGGGTCCTACCCAAAAGAATTCAACCCAAGCCTTCTTTCAAACCTTCAAAGACAAGGTTTATTAGAATATCCATCATATTGGGCAGACTCTTAAGAAGTCTGAACATTAGTGAGCTATTGGCTAGATTGTAAAAATCTGAGCAGTGGCTAGATTATAAGAATCTAAGCAGTGGCTAGATTTTTAAGAATCTAAGAACCTTAATGGAGACAAGATGGACCTTATATACAGAAAGACTGTGGGAGGGATCTAGGAACAGGCAAGTACTTTGGGGTGACTGGAGGAGGGGTCTAAGGAAGATATTAATGGGAGTGGCCAATAAGCTAGGGTGAACAGAACTCCTAGGACCTGGACCACTGGCAAAGGGAGAATGGAGCCCAGCTAGGATTAAGGGTGGGAAATGACCAAGGGCCAAAGGGAGGTAAGACAATGGAGAGCTAGGCTACCTTAAGGGTAACAGAGAATTGGGAGATTGGGTGTAGCCACAATGAAAGGCCAGTTGATGGGATTATAACCTAAAGTGAATGCCAGAGATTTGACCATGTGGGAAAGTTCAGGGTTTTTTCTTTCTGGGGTTCAGATCCCAACTCCATCATTATTGTCATCAGGATTAAATATAAGCTCCTCTGTTTAGATTTTAAAGCCCTTCAAAGTCTGTCCCTAACCTCCCTTTTCAACCTTATCATTTCTCCCCTTCTCCCATGCTACAATGCAGCCAAACAAGGCCAGTTTTTACACACACACACACACACACACACACACACACACACACACACACACACCATCTCCTCCACTTTGAACTGGAATTCACTCCCAACTGACCTCATTCTCTTGAACTTCCTTGTTTCCCTCAAAATTCTACTCAAGCACCACCTTACATATGAAGCCTCTTTCAATGTCTCTAGTTTTTAGTACCTTTCCCCCAAAATATTTTTAACCTTGTATTCATATTATAAAAATTGTAAATATTTGTATTAATGTAGCCTTTGCCTCCTAATAGAACATCAGCTTCTGAGAGCAAGAGCTACTGAATTTTTGTCTTTGCATAACCAGTACCTGGTAACTGAATGGGTGCTTAATAAATTGTTATTGACAGATTGATCAATCATTAAACATTTAATTTTTCACCATCTTTCTGAAATAATGGACCATGTCAACCAAATGCCTTTTTCAAATAGTTCATCATTTTGTTAGCCTAAAATGTCATTAAAAAAAAATGATAAGGTCTTGGTATTCTTCTGTCACTGGTGAGCTTCACCTGAACATGTCTTCTGCCTAAATGTTTCTGTTTTTCTTTCTTTAAAGTGGCAGAGTTGTCATGTCACTTTAGCTAGAGGCTCCTATTATCCATTCCTATAAACTGCCATGCATAGACCCCCATAATCCACTTAAGCAATCTCAACTTTCCTAAATGATTTTAGCAGCATGCAATTGTTTTGAAGGAAGTTCTACTTCTTATTCATATAAAATGCCCAACTGGTTCTATAGACAAGTCCATTTTCAGGTTATCAAAGTTCTTCTGATGAAAAAAATGAAAACAACAACTGGTTTAAATCCAGGACTTCTCATACTTTTTCTAATATTAGTTATGATGGTGCAAAGTGACATGTATCATAGAGTAGGTGTTTTAATTAGATAGTAGATCTCAGGATATTGGAATCTGGAAGGTGTCTTTGTCTTTTATGCAAAGGCAACAAGATTAGTAACCGGATCCAAACATGAAAGGGAGATCATGTAACCATACTTTCACAATCTAGTTCATAGGTTTCCAAAGTAGTTGATACCACCCCTAGGAGATGCTGGAAAGATCCAGGGGGGCAGTAGTAATCTCTGGCACTATTGGGGAGACATTGAATAAAAATAAGGAGGTGGTGGAAGCATAAGAAAAGAAGAAAATTTTGAAAAACCATTCATATGTGTTTCACCTGCTGTATAACAGAGTTAAAGTCACAGTGATTACATTATTTTCTAATTAAACACAAAAATCCATGCACAGGTCTTAACAAGTGAGTGTTAGCAGGCAAGTGTGTTGTCAGAAAGTCCAGCATGCATTGGCAGGAATATATGCATGTAATGACTTGTTTACAATATGATACTATATAGTTACATGATGCAATATTGTGTCATCAAAATTTCAATACAGGAAAAAAACCACAAATTTACAATAAAGTATTAAATTTAAGAAGCATCATTTTTTTAAAAATTATTTTTTGAAATGACTCAAATATTAAAAAATGTTAAAGTGTTAAAGAAAGTAGATTTCCAGGGGGTGCTGAGTAATTTTTTTTTAAAGGGGGCAGTAGGCCAAATAAGTTTGGGAATCTCTGATGTAGTCAAATGTATTCACTTTGCAGTTGTCAATGCACATAGAAAATGCTGTCATTTGGGGTCGTCTTAAACTTTGTCTCACTAAGTTATTTAGAAGACAACCTTGATGACAATAATGATAAGTTCTATGGTTTCCCTTCCAACCAGGTACAGGGAACCATCTTTCCAGCTCCAAATTTCAATCCTGTCATGGATGCTCAAATGATAGGAGGAGTCCTTCAAGGATTTGGTAAGCTTCATATATTGACTTTTGTCTTTTTATTTCAATGCTATTTCTTTTTAATTTAAGTGTCTTTAAAGGTGAAATGGTGTACTTGCAAAAAAGACTAGAGAGAGTGGGTCAGGAAAGATATGGGGAGAAGAAATTAAATAAAGACATAAAAAGAGAGATCAAAATTGAGTGAGGAGAAAAAACAAGGATATAGGCAACAGAGAAGAATGTAGTGTCCACAGGATGATCAAGTTTTGAAAGTTTTTTAAAGATCATGTTGTCAGTTAAATGGTACAATGCAGGGTCTGCAGTCAGGAAGACTCATCTTTCTGAGTTCAAATCTGGCCTCAGATATTTCCTAGCTGTACAACCTTGGGCAAGTTACTTAATGCTGTTTGTCTCAGTTTCCTCATCTGTAAAATGGGCTTGAGAAAGAAAAGGCAAACCACTCCAGTATCTTTGCCAAGAAAATCCCAAATGGGGTCAGATACAGCTGAACAACAACTAAAGACCATATACTCCAGATAAAGAAACTGAGACCCAGAGAGGTTTGTCTAAGATAATCAGTGTAGTATTCAAACCTAGATCCTCAGATTTTAGATCCAGTAATCTTTCCTGTACACTAATCTGGTTCAGAGTTTGAAAAGGTAGTATTGGGATAAGTACTAGATCTGTGATTTCATGGTATAAGGAATTCTAAGATGAGAAAACTTCCTCTACCAGAGCAGGTCAACACCCTCTATTGGTAGGCAGCGATTCTTAACCTTTTTAATGTCTTAGACACCTTTGGAAGTCTGGTAAATTTATGGACCCTTCTCAGAAAAAAAAGTTTTTAAATAATTGAAGGAAATGCTAAATTTCAGTTAAAGTCAGTGGAAATAAAGACATATTTTTCTTCCTATTCAAGGTCATGGTCCCCTGAAATCACTTGCTAAGAGTCATACAGCCAGTATGTGTCAGAGTTGGTACCTTAACACAAATCCTCCAGCCATTTCTCTATCCAATGCACAATACTGTCTCTGTAAAATAGGTGATTAAAGAAGATCATGCAAAAGGAATTTTTTAAAAAATTAAATGTCTTCAAAATACTGAAATAAATTTTAAATAAAGTACACACCTATGTGCTCCTTTAAATGCATCTGGTTTGTTTGTTTTTTTATGAGGTCTCTTGGTAAAACTGTGTTAATTAATAACTTTAAAAGAAATATTTGTTTAAAAACGTATAAAAGTTTTCCCAGGAAAGCAAGCTCCATCTCTTTAAAGAAAAAGTGGGCCTTAGGAAGAAGTCAATTTTTGCTGTCTCTATCTTAAGTGAAACAAAGATGGCTTTAATTGTGCCTTCTAAAAAACTATCTTAGAAATGTGCAAAGCTCTTGTGTTTTTCAAAATATCAATCATTAGAAAAATTATAGGGGCAGCTAGGTGGTGCAGTGGATAGAGCACCAGCCCTGAAGTCAGGAGGACCTGAGTTCAAATTCAGCCTCAGACCAAACACTTGACACTTACTAGCTGTGTGACCTTGGGCAAATCACTTAAGCCCAATTGCCTAAAAAAAATAAATTATAAAGACAAAATGACAAAAAGCTACAGATTGACTCCCACCCACCCCCCACCCCCACCCCCACCCCAGAATGCAGTAGTTTCAGGCTATACACCAGAAACATCTATTTTTTTTTCAATGAAGCATTTTTTCCCACTTTACCACTTTCCAATCCACCTGATATTGAGGTTAGGGGTCAGAATATGGATTCTTTTTGAGCAATCCTCATTTGCTTCTCCTTGAATTTTTGAGAGTCAGAGGTCACAAAAATGCTTCTGTCTTTAATCTTCTGATAATTGCTTCAGTTTGAATAGTGACAATGAGATGAACCTAAAGGAGTAAATGAATGACAAACCTGGATGGGGGCGGAGTTGAAATTGAGTATTTGCTAGTAGAGTACATTTGCATTCAACAAAAATAAGCATATAAAAACAAGCCAATTAGTAGCTGTTATCCCCCCCTTTTTTTAAAATTCTGAACTTTCATACCAAATGGGTTTTTATATATACAAAGCAGAATAGGAATAGGACCATATATGTGTTTCCTACTGACCTTCATTCTATTTGTTATCTATGCATTCTTAAATGCTTCAATACTCTGTTTTTGTAACTTTCTTTTTGGTTTTTTTTTGTTTATTATGCTAACCCTACTACCTCTTCCCAATTTCTTCCCTCCAAACTCAAAGAAAGAAAAATAAAACTCTTGTATCAGATATGAATAGTTAAGTAAAACAAGTCCCCCCACAATGGCCACTTCCAAACAAGTACATATCATTCTATGCCATTGATGTGGTCTAGAGGTTAGGGGTCCTGGAATCCCAAAATCACGACACCTGAGTCCCTGCCTGAAAGAATTCAACCCAAGCCTTCTTGCCACCAAAAACAAGGTTTATTGAAGATTCGCCATATTAGCTAGACTCTTAAAGAATCTGAGCATCTATGGATTCTAAGAATCAGAGCCTGTTAATGGAGACAAGATGGACCTAATATACAGAAAGATTGTGGGAGAGATCTAGAAGTGACCTAGTTCATGAGGTAATAGAATTACCAAGGGTGGGAAGTGGCCTGGGGCCATAGGGAGGCAAGACTATGGAGGGGAGGTTGGGTGTAGCCACAGTGAAAGGCCAATTGAAGAGATTATAGCATCAGAGATTTGACCATGTGGGAAAGTTCGAGGTTTTTCCTTTCTGGGGCCCAGATCCCAACCCCATCATTATGAGTTTATCCCCTCTCTGTCAGGAAATAGGTAACATGTTATATAATTGGTCCTTTAAAATCATGGATGGCCTTTGCCATCAGAGTTCTTTGGTCTTTCAAAGCAGTTTTCCTTTATAATGGTCTCATTATTGTATAAAATGTTCTCCCGGTTCAGCTTAGTTCACCTTGCATCAGTTTATACATGTCTTTCCAGGATCATTAGAACCACTTTTCACTGGCTAATACAGGCTGACAGAGCTGGGACCTGACTCCTGGCTTTGACATCATATCCAAGTATACTTTCCACCATGCCCTACAGCAGCTTCCTAATATTAAATAAATAAATGAATGAATTATGGCCAGAGATGAGCTTAAAATACTGTATATATTTAAAAACCTAATTATTTTCAAAGATTTACCTAAACTAGTCCCTATGAAAACATCTGATTTGAAGCATATCTAGACAGATTAAAATGGCAGTTTAATCAGCATACTTTTGCCATATAAACTCAACCTCTGTTGGAAATGTAAATTCCACCCTAAGCTCTTCTTATTAGATAAAAGTCTTTACACTAGATTTCCCAGTTGACTAACCTTGAGATACCTCTGAAACCATACAGCCTACATGATTATCTGTCACTATCCTATAGAGAAATGAAAGATACATGAGACTAGTAAATATTATTGATATGTGCAAGCTTCTAGGAAATATTGGTCTTCTGGAAGGTCTCTCTGACAGTTTGGTGGCTTCCACATTTTAAAAAGATGTGGAGTCTCTAGAGAGGCTCTAGGTCCAGAGGCAAGATTCAAAATATTGATTAAAAATATTAGAAGATTGGTCTTGATCATTTATTCTTCACAGGGCAGCAAGTAATACAACTAAATTGTTCTCAGATGAAAAGGAAAACAGGGTGGGGGAGAGGGAAATAAGACATTAGTTAGCTAGAAATATCTGTTGACTTAAAGGTGATCCTAACTGTTGTGCTGGAGCTTCTGGGAACCCCAAATGCAAGGGTACAGGGCATGAGTCTGCCTCAAAAGAATTCAACTACTCAAGCCTTACAGCCAAAGTAGCAAGTTTAGTGGTGTAGTCTGGAGGTAACAGAGAATGGAGGGTTGGGCTGGATGGGGGGGGAAGGGGGAGCCACAATGAAAGCACAGTTGAAAGGATTATACTGGGATGAGCCCAATGCCTCAGGCAAACACCAAGGATCTGGGTTCAGGGGCTGGATTCTTGAAATTCTTGGCAAGGTTAGGGGAGTATCCAGATCCCATACGCCATCATTCTCCCCTCAAACAAATGAGGGGTTAAGGTCTCAGCTTCTGAAACTGCTTCCTGTTGGCAAGGGCTGTCCCTACCTTGCTAGGTTCCATTCAAGGTGTCAGACTTTGGAGTCTGGATGATGTCATGTCCACTGGGCTAGAAACTTTGGACATAGTTGAAGCCTGAGCAGTCATCTGGAAGTTGAAGGCTCAGAACCTGAAGGAGATAAACCTGGCAAGGAGGTTAAGCAAACAAGGACCAAATAGGCATGAAAGGAATATACTCAGAAGGGGAATAAGGATGTGAGCTAGTAGAAAAAAGAGCCAGGATTTCCACAAAGAAAATGATTTTGGGGCATGAGGTTATTACTGATTTCTTGCATCTAACTAGCCTTTTCCAAAATACATTCAGTGTGAATCTCTACCTACCCAGAGTTGTTGATGTACATACAACAAGAAGTGTTTGCTAGAGCACATACCCTCTGCCCCCAGAGACAAGCAGGTAGTTTATGGCTATTCTGTTATCTAAGACTTTGTTTCTAGGGAATCCAAAGATTTCTGAATTTCCTGGAGACTTTGCCAGCTGGTGAATGGTGTCTTTAAGGTTAGAGAAAATGAGTTCATGTTGTAGGTGACCATACAAAGGCAAGAGATACTCCACTTCCTTTTTGAGGAACCAGAGGACATTTCCCCAGAATCCATGCTTTGCCCTTTTCAAGGGAGAGGTCCTGGGGTGTGTGACATTGAAAATGGGAAAGGGGGTGCTAAAATCCAAGAGTGTATACCCCAAAGTCCTTATAAGGTGTTAAGCGTTAGGTGTCAGGACAGTAGTTCTGGGGTCTTGCCATGCATTCTGTTTCACCTCTTCCCCAGAATTTTTGTCATTTGGCTCACTGATCCCACAAAGGAAAGCATAGCCTTTGGGGGTACAGGTGGAACTAGTTCATAAGAGGCTCTGAGTGTGGATGCTTCAAGGATCAGAATGGTTGCACATTAAACTCCCAGGCAAGAGGGGTGTC